CGATAAAAAATTACAAAAAATGTAATAAAATTTATTTATTTCTCTCTCACAGAGAGAGTTGATAACTGATCTTTGCTGTAATTGAGGATAATATTCGTCTTTTGATGATTGTCGTCCGAGAACGACCACGATTTCATGGTTATCGTAGTGACTCTCTCGGGTCGGTCACTGATCCACACCGATGATCCCGAAGAGGTAAAAGTTTATACCGTTACGAAAGAATGCCTTCTCCTGTGCGGTCAATGCGCGCTTTTACGTGACCGGAAAGGTGCGCATAAAAGCGGAAGCTCACTCGCAGTGAGATAATCAGCTTGTGAATTATTCTATAGATCATTTTTTTTCTTCCTGGGATGAGAAAAACGTCTCATTTGTAATCGCGTGCCTTTGTAAAAATTTTATCTATTATAGAAAAGGAGTCTTTTTCTTTTCTTTTCTAATCCATAAATGGAAATACTTGGAGGAAAAGCCGTTCCATTGTCAAAGTCACGGAAAAATCAGAGATATTTCGAGCATTGTAACGTAGCATACCTGAGCATTTGTTTTGTTCAGAATTCTATACTATATTCCTATTAAAATAAACAATTTTATCGCATTTCGTAAAAATCTTTAGAGAATCTGTATTTTTCTTGTAAATGTAAATTAAGAACATATTGAGTATGGAATTTAAAAACTATGTGTAATTTGAAATTTCGGTATTAAATAAAAAAAGTGTGACAAAATAATTATAATTTTAAATTGTAAAAACATTTTATTTATAGATTAAATTATTTCTAGAATTAAATCAAACTAAATCAAGAATAGAAGAAAATCATGTTCATCAAATATAAAGATTTTCGCTTTTTTACTCAATAATGTCATTAGACTTATTAATGTCATTAAGATTCTTATCGGTTTGATTCTACGTCACTTTTCTAAGGATTAGATAGTATAATTGTCGATGATTTAATTAGTTTCTTTAATTTGTTTCTCTAATTTAGTTAAGAAATCTAAATTCTTAGTAATTTTATAAATTCTTCAACTCGCATGTGTATTTAATATTTTTAGAGAATCGTTTCAATAATGAAGCATGCAAAGTTAATAAGATGTCGAATAATCAAGCAATGATAATTATTGAACACAATATGTGATATAGTTATTATTATATACAATGATACAAACAAACGGAATTAGACAAAATAAGCTTTTGTATAAAATAAAGAATAGTAGGCAGAGAATTGATTTTTACTAATTTAAGTCACTTTTGCTTTCGATTGTTGAATCGTTCTACTTTCTGTGAATGTATCACGAGGTTCGTTGCATCAAGCGATATCGATTAATATCGCATTGCATGCAATCGAAATTTTTCATTGTCACGTACGATACAACGGAAGAGAAACGTCAAACTGGTTTATCGCGCTCGTTAGAAAATTCCATTATTCACACAACGTTATAATTCTCTCATTTGGCACTGCTTTAATTTCTTTGTCATACAAATGCAAATTATTTCCTTTAGATGTTTTAAATAATGATTTATTAAATAACAATGGTTGAAAAATTTGATTAATAAAAAATGCTTTTATATGAAAATATAAAATTAAATAAATTTCAAATAATTGAAATTGGCAGGATATATATGTCTTGAAAGTAATTTTAACAAAATTCAAGATTCATTTTCATAATTTTATAAAAATTATCGTTATGCAATTGAAGAGAGCATAATCAAAATTCAATAATAAAGTGCTAAAGAAAGAGTTTTCCTCGTTCTAGTATCTGGTATTGAACTCACTGGCGGGAGATTTCAATAGATTCAGCGTCCTCCATCTCGTTATCGTATCACATGCACTGAGAATGCTATAGGAAGCCACACAAATAATATAACATATATTTCAGTTGAATATAACACATTCACAAAATAGCAAAATAAATCCAATAATCTGCGATCGAGTCTCAAGACGCAAATCCAAAAAGGTAATGTGAAATACGTTGATACTGCGAGGAATATAAAAATTTCATTTTTATATTGATTATATCTCTATATCTATCTTCTTTTAATTTTTTTGATTTAATTTCTTTTAATTCTCCATAATCTTATCTCATCGTATTTTACTCATACTTTGATTTTTATTTCCTTAGAAAATATTTGTTTCAAACTGATAGTTTTCCCGATAACTTTGGCATTGACATTCTTCTACCAATTATTATTTGCAATGTGATAAGCTATCGTTTGTTGTGCCAATGTCGACTTCCAGAAGTCTCTTTGTTCAATACGGTCAAAATGCCAGACTCTCTTGGAGCGTAACGACATGCTCTCCTCATAACAGTACCTCAGGTAGACGGTTAGGTGCATAGAATGTTTCGAGGGTGAATTTTTCCACCTGTCATTGTTCTTTGTTCCTAAATCTATTCATAAATTTTGAATAAAATGATCGCCCAATCTTCAATCCTGACATGTTCAATTCACGATAATTTTATTTAAAAGTTATTATTGAAAATAAAAAAATATTTACTAAAAGATTTTTGTTGCCAGGAAGCATAAAGTTTTCTCGCATAAACAAGACTCGAATTAATCACAGAGATTCTTCAAACAAAAGTGATAATAAAATAATATATATCGACTATTCTTGATCCATTATAACTCGATCCTTAAAAATCTTTCATGAGTCATCCTAGATCATCGCTTACATCGCATTTATATTCAGGATCTACCTGAGTCACAATTCGATAGATTTCTATCTCTCGATTCTTGTTCGAGAATTGAACATTCGGGTTCGACGCGGATTGAAACGATCTCTCCTCCTCGGTTAGAATTTCTTGTCTGGACGCCGCGCCGTGCCGTCGCGTCGGGGCCCGCGACGCTCGTACGGAACGATGGCGACCGCGACCACAGCCGCGAACGTACAGAGGGGGACCTGACTCACCTGCCACGACGTGTCGCGTCCGCATTTTCCGGCTCCGAATCTTTTTTCGGCTCCTTCTTCTCGTTCTCTCACGCACTCAACATCCTACTTCTCCTCTTTCTGCCTGTATTTTTTCCGCTCGTACTCTTTTCACACGCCGTGGAAAAAAAAAAAGAAAATAATAACTTCCCGCTCCGAGATGGGTTCTCCTCTTTCTGGTCTCCACTCTTTTACCTTCGCACCCGCGCGCGCACCAGTTTCGACCGACGACGAACGCCCGCCGAACGAGACTGCAAGCCGAGACTGCCGCGACAGTGGTAGAGAACACCGCCACCTTGCTCGACCTGCGTCGGCCCCTCTCCTTCACGGCAGTTCGAGTATTGCTGTGTAAGTTACCTGGTGACCACGGTTACCTGCCTGTCCATTTTCCTGCGCGCCAGGTATAAACAAAGAAACACAAAAGATGTGATTTAAACATTAAAAATAAAGACTTGAGAATCAAAAATAAATATATAAGAATGGCCAATAAGGAATCATTGGCATTAAATTAATGAAGAACATAACATTTTGCAAAATATTATGTATTATTAATTAAAAGGCAAATATATCAGAATATTTTGAAGAATTTTCTTAAGAACTCTAGAAGAAATTAAACAGATGAAAGCATAAGTAACATGCGTTTTGTTTACACTAGTAGCAAAATTATTAGCACAAAATTATTGACCCAATATTTAATCAATGTATCGCCAATAAACTGCTACAAGTATAATAGTTATTAGAAATTATATTGAAGTGCTATTGAGATACGAATGTAAGATTATTTTTTTAATTGTATATTTTACAATTTTTATGGAGCCTGATCCGCCTGAAAGACCTGATCTTCATACATGTGTTATATCATATCATAACATTATTATGTGTTTATCTTTTTTTACTTACTTATATTAGTTATTTTTATTTACTTATTCTATATTTTTGTCTTTTTTTTTTAAGATAATATTAATGATGGCAATTTTACTTTTTTACTTATAGGTATTTTACAAATGACTGTATTGAATGATTTATTTTAAATACAGTTGAAAAGTTGTAATTGTAAAAATGCATTGAAAATGCGTAATAAAAATTGTTACATAAAATATTAAAAGACTTAATTCGCTCGATATTGCAAACATAAAAACTGAAAAAGTATAGATGAAAAGTATAGATGGAACATTTTCGTTATTTTTGACTATACTAAATCTTCATCAGCCAATTGAAATAAAAAATTTAAATTAATATATAATGTTTAAACGTTGGATGAACTTTAAGAATAAAATTTACAAAATCTATTGTATATATAGTCGCAATAAATTACAAAATTTTTTAAATTAACGTTTCATGGTATCTTTATGACATTGAATATTAATTTGTGAAGTTGAATATTAATGTGAAATATTATTCTAATTTAAATTAAGATCTTTCTTTTATTCGTTTTTTGATCCCCCATCTCTACTTTTTTAAAAATTGTTATTTTTACAATTTTATTTTGTAAGATCATTGAATTAGAAATTAATACATTTTCTCTATTATAAACGTTTTATAGTGATATATACTGTCTCATATTTTAATGAGCTTATTTTACTAATTGCTGTAATGAGTAAAAATTTGGTTTTATTTTAAGAATTCAAAGGAATAGTAGAAGAAATTATTTTGATATTTTACTTGATTTATATTATAAACATACACACAAGGATATATATATATAATATAAGAAATGTACATATAAGAACGAATCGATATTTAGGATATTTCTAAGTTGATCTGATTTTATTTCTCCACTAAACTATATACAAGAATTTTTTTCTTTAAGTAAATATGAAATATCTATTTCACTTTAATAAGTATGTACTTTTTGCAGTCAGCATTTTCGCTTTCTCTCTCTTCAATGCCTGATATATTTCTTTCAAGTGTAAAATTTTTTAGCATTCTAAATATTGAGAACAAACCTATTATCAACTGTTTTGGTTGTTCCGAAGATAAATAATAAAGATTTTACCTAATCTAGTTACTGTTTTTATCAGAAATTTACAAATTTAAAAGAAATCTTTTTAATGATAAAACGCAGTGATTAAGGAAAATAAATTTTATTAATTTATCAAGCACAATAATTACCATTATGTATGGAATCCTTTTGGTGGTCACGAAAATTTGTCCATGATTGATAACGATCATTTATTAAATAATAGTATTTCGAAGGTGTCCTCAAACATTATATCGCTAGTGGCGCTAGTACATTCATTTTTGAGTTGAATATACAATGTGTTCCGAAAGTTTTTGCCAATCGCTTTTGTGTAGATAGAGCGGACTAAATTGAGTCGAAAAGTCCTCTACCATTTTACAATTTTCGCAATAGTTAACAAGATATTAATTACTAAAAATTGCTAAATATTGATCTTGAATAATTTTTTACTCAAATATCTCTATCAACTTTAGATAGAAAAGCTGTAAGAGACAAAAGTCATTTATTTTCTTCTCATAAAACTCTAAAAACTTTTTTGGAATTTTTTATCAATTTTTTAGTACTGTATTTTTTTATTTTTACCAATGGCGAAAATATATTAAAAAATTTTGAAAAAATTTTGAAAAAATTCTCAGAACTTTGTAGAAAAAAATTGTAATTTTGCGGCAATATTATAAGATATTATAGCATTACAAAAATATACTTGGTTATGGAGTATTTATATAATAAAAAATCATAAATTTAATAATGTATTATCCAAATATTTATATTAATAAATCGCAGATTTATATCAATTGTCGATAATGTCAGTCGTTCTTCAATGTACGTAGTACTCAATTCGAAAATGGATGTACTGGCAGTAGTGTGCAGCTAAGGGATTTCGAAGATCCCATGAAAAAGACTCCAAAAGATCCTCGAGTGATCCCTCTCAGGAGTCTCAACTCTCCAAGTTTTTCTCTGCCGTTAGGCACAGCTAGGTGAGCTAGGCACTAGTGTTTAAGCAAAAGCTACTAGTTACTGGCTCCTTGGTTCCTGCTGCCGCCTGAGTGAGCGGTCGCCGTTGTGAAAATGTCAGCTCGATGGTGGTGATTCATGTTCAGTTTGTCTCGCGCGAGCGTGAAACGGTTAGACGTCCGTCCTGTGCTGCAATTAACCACGTTCTGCTCGGGCTGCGAGCAGGTGAGTGTGAATACGTGCACGTTTCTTACGCGGCACGTTTCGTGTCGCACCGGATGAACCAGATCGCCGTCATCGCCGATCCGTTAATAATCGAAAATCAGGTTAAGTGCACTCGAACTGTATTCTATCCTCGTTCATACTCCTCCTAATCAATCCCAACTAGACATAAATCAGTGTCTGCTGGCATGTCGTTCATGGCAGTAGCGGTTTCACGTTCGCCAAGTGGAATTCCCGCTCCCGCTGCACCTGTCAAGTGCACTTTCTAAAGCGTGACTCATACTATTACTGATGAAGAGTTAAAAAAGGCTGGAATGCCATTCTAAGAAACTGTCTAATTTATCAGCAGCGAGAGATATCTGCGATAATCTTCAGGTGACTTTTGTGTTTGTAGTCGATGGGATGGCAGATAAGAGCTTGATCTGGTTTATAACTTCATTATACTACAATGAGTTTATACGTGTAGAGTCTATACCTGAGGAGTAATAAATTAATAAAAGATGATTTATGCATTTTTTTAAATATATCACTCAATTCACTAATAATTAAATTTTTATTTAATTTTAGCCCTTAGTTAATAATTGATTGGTACTTCATTATGTATAATAATTTAATATATATATAACACAGATATGCTGAACTATGTTGAAAATAGAATATACTGGAAACTGTTAAATTATATAATTATATACTTATTGGAACAATAACATTTGCAATATTCTTCTGATAATTTCTTTTCTTACTTTGAACATATTATTATATAGTAATTATTTGTTTCTTTTTTGTTAATTATGTGTAAGGTATAAATTACATTAGGAGTATCACATCAACATATATATGTATATTGAAAGATAACAGATGTAAAGTCTATTAGGAACATGTTACTATGTGAAAAATATTATATGATAGCAGCTACTTTAATAAAATAAGTAACTACTATACTAAGGTTTTATGTGAATCATTGAAAAATTTGAAAATTTATATTTTTCAATAACACAAAATGTCATTCTGTTCGTTTCATTGATAAGAGTAATACTCCTCTAGGATGATGGAGGAACCATTGAGTCAAGGTGCCTCACCGTCTAGCGATGGCAACTTTTCAGCAGGCGGTGGCGGGGAAATCAATTCGACCACTGTAGTCAGTCTAGATGAGAGGATATTAGATATCACATCACGGCATTCCTTAAATGTTCTTAGAACACCTCCAACCAAAAAGGCAAAGAGAGTTCGATTCTTCCGCAATGGAGACAAATATTATACAGGTGTGGTGATGGCAGTGACGCCTGAAAGATATCGCAGCTTTGATAGTCTCGCGTCCGATCTGACTCGTGCTCTAGTATCGAGCGTGACCTTGCCGAATGGTGTACGAGCGATATATACCATGGATGGTCGTAAGGTACAAAGTGTCAGCGATCTGGAGGATGGCAAGTGTTACGTGGTATCTGGTCAGGGCGAAATCTTCAAAAAAGTCGAATATTCAGCATCTAAGGTTCGTCGTGGCAGCTCGCTGTCTGGATTACCACAATCGCCGGCAGCTAGCAGCGGTGGCGGTGGTACTGGCAGGCAGACCAGCGCCATTCCGTTGTGCGTAAAAGCGCGCATCGTGACACTGATCCGCCACGGTACCAAGCCACGAAAGGTGATGCGGCTGTTATTGAACAAACGCAACGCACCGAGCCTTGAGCACGCAATGGAAGCGATTACAGAGGCCGTAAAACTTGACACCGGGGCAGTGAGGAAGGTATATACGTTATCAGGTCAGCAAGTGACCTCGCTCGAGCAATTCTTTGAGAATGATGACATCTTTGTGGCTTACGGTCCGGAGAAATCCGTACAGGAAGATTTTGAGTTGGACTTCGAGGAGAGTAAGTATGTGCAAAGCTTCCGTCGTTGTCCGTGGAGTTCCAAGCGACAGAACGGCCCAATGCCGCGAATGCCGAGAAAATCTGGCAAAAAGACGCTTACTACGCCACAAGTCAGGACTCCGAGCCCATCATCTTTGATACTGCCACAACCTCTGAGAATGCATTATACCGTGGGACATATAATTGGAGATGGAAACTTTGCTGTTGTTAGGCATTGCACTCACAAGTAATTATTCCAAAATTTAATTAAAATTTCATATCATATATAAAAGAAATAAAATGCAAAATACAACACAATATTATAATTTATTTAGCTAGAGATATTTTGGATATTTCATTGAAAAAAAATCTCACAAAACATATTATGATAATATTTCAGATCTAGCGGTGTTGAATATGCTATGAAAATTGTGGACAAGTACAAGTGTCAAGGGAAGGAGACAATGTTAGCAAGCGAGGTAGCGATATTGAGGCAAGTTTGTCATCCCAACATAATCAGCTTGATTGCAGAACAAGATACTGCCGATCAATTATTTTTAGTCATGGAACTTGTTAAGGTATGTCATTGAAAGAAATTTAATAGTGTTGAAAACTAATTAACGATATACATTTTTAATTTAATTTATAATTGTAAAAATGTACTATAACTAAAATATTTGCTCATTTTTTAGGGTGGAGATTTATTCGATGCAATTGCAGTGGCGACGAAATTTTCTGAAGCAGAGGCGAGTGTGATGATTAGTCATCTGACTTCTGCCTTGGCTTACTTACATTCGCATCATATTGTACATCGCGACATAAAACCGGAAAATCTCCTAGTTGAGATGGATGGCAGTCATGTTAGATGCTTGAAATTGGGTGACTTTGGACTTGCGCAGGTAGTGCGAGAACCTTTATACACAGTTTGTGGTACACCTACTTATGTGGCACCAGAAATCCTCGCCGAAACCGGATATGGTTTAAAGGTATTGACTTGTAATAAATTTATTAAGTTTGGCAAATAAAATTAAGTTAAAATTTAATTAGTTGGAATACATATAATTTATATATATATTATATATATTCAAAAAATATATTTTTAAGGACAAGAATATAAAAATTATTAATGATAATTTATAAAGATGTGAAAAATATATAATATTTAGATTGAATATTTGTCTTTTAAAAAAATGTATTTATATGTATAATGAATCTCATATATATATATATATAAAAATTCCTTTTTTTTTTTAGATTGACGTATGGGCGGCCGGAGTGATCTTGTATATTCTCCTGTGTGGTTTTCCACCATTCGTATCGGTAGATAACGAACAGGAGGAATTGTTTGAACGTATCTTGAGCGGTCAATATGAATTCACATCGCCGTATTGGGATACGATATCAGATTCCGCGAAACAGCTTATCTCGAATATGCTGCAGGCACAGCCAGAACTTCGTTTTAGTGCAGAGGACGTATTGGATCATCCATGGCTCGCGGTAACTGTCACTAACATACAACATTATTATTGTACTTCACAAATTAGAAAAAATGCGTTGCCGCACCCGCATGGCTTAAAACCCCTTTCTCACTCTCTCATAGTTATTTAAAATGAGATTAGTATCGGGTGGTTATCGGCTATACGACACGTTTGCTATCACATTTATTAATTTGAGCACGATTCCTTCTCGTCATGCCATACTACATGGAAAAAAAAATTCAGCGGATTTATAAATGTAATATTTAGAATTCCAATAATAAGTTTGATTTGTAACAAAATCATCTCGAATTTTGAACTTTATTCAATTTTATTATCACTCAATCCATAAAGAACTTTATATAGTTTTGTAAAAGGAAATAATGAACATTTATAGAATTATATTTTTAACCGATATTGAATTTATAACTGATATTGAATTTATATTCTTACAAAATATTATATATTAAATATTCTATATTCCTATATAGAAATGTAATTATTTAAGAAATATAAATTTATCTTTCGCTTTATGCGCTGAACAAAATTTCCATGTTACAAACGTGATGCGATCGGAAACCTACTTGCCTCCTCTATCGGCTTTATTTCAAACACAAAACTAAGAAAGCTTTTGTAGTGGTTTGCTGTATCTGTAGCAGTGCTTTTTCTTTTCTTTTGCCCCGCCTCTGTATATCAGCAGAGCTTTCTAGGAGGCGAGCAGACCGCAGCAACAGCATCCGACACACCGGCGGAGCAATACTGGAATCAGCAGTGTAAGCCGATAAGAATGGCCACCTTCGAGTTCGACTTCAAGAAGCAGCGCAGTCAACGACAGGATGACGGTACCAAGACAAGAGCCGAGTGGAAAAGTAATATTGATTATTATGACGTACCGCAGTTTATCGACGCAGAGAAAAAATTGGATGAGCGAAATTACGATGAAATCGATTTTGCTAACGGCAATAGCAACGAAAATGATTTAGTAATTCTTAGTTCCGACTATCTTAAAGATATCAATAGTTTGAGTCGATCAATGCATGATTTAATAGACAATTTGAATGATAACAAAACGCAACGACGCCGTCTCAAATCGCAAAGTGCTACTTCGTCGCTCAATAGCATTCCAGAGAATTTGAACATATGTAATTATCGCAGCAATTCACCGATTCGTTGCAATGAAATCGCTGAAAAAACAGTCGCAATTTCTACGAATCATCGAGGCGATCGGAAAAACGGAAACTCGATGAAAGAATCAAGTTATCTTCACTCGAATTGTGAAACGCCGAAATCGAATAAATCTATCGTTATGAATCGGCAAAGTAAATGCAACCAAAAGAACTTGTATGAGGTGAATCGCGAAAACAGATTCGATAGCGATGACTTCCGCAATAGGAATGCAACTGCGTCGACATCAAGTGACAGCCTGACTGGCAACAGTTCTACTGGTAATGACATTGAGACTTCTGACAGTTTTGTAAACATTCAATTCGCACGTTTGTCACGTGAGCAAAAATCGAGCTCCACGCAAAGCATGGAGTCGACTGATAGCTTTGAGAACGTGAGTTTCCGGTATACAAATCAAAACAATAGTCTCAAGGATCATTCCTCACAGATTTCTTCAAAATTAGAGAATAATCAGGATACGTCTCCTGTAAGGATAGTGAAGACCGGTAGAATAGCTGTATGGAATACATTAAGATTACCTAAATTAGATAACGAGATTGATAAAAAGAATTGCAATAGTCCGTTCCGTAGAGTTGAAGAAATAGGCAAATGCGCAAAGAACGAACCAGTAAAGTTGCGGCATGAAAGATACAATACTAGGAAGAATCAGATAGATTCGAGAAGTGTCAAGAACAAAAGATACAGCTGTTTTTCTCCATGCACAACAAAGAGATCGTCCGAGGAAATCGGCAACCGCAGCGGTGGCGATAAAGTCACAACACGGAAATTCAGCTCAACGGATGAATTACGCGACGAAGTGAGACAGAAATCGGTACCACGAACAAAACGATTCAGTCTGTATTATACACCACAACCATTGAGGAAGACATATGAGAATGAATCAAAGATTGGAAGAATTACGTACAAGTCAGCAGGTCGCACTCAGAGATCTGAGATGAGTAAGGGAAGGAACGAAGAGGAGCTGGAAAGAGTAGAGAAAGTGGAGAGAATAGATAGGAGCCGAAGATCGGTGATTGATGCTTCAACGATCGCTAGTAGGAGTAAATCCAATAGGCAAAATGTTCATGTGAGATCAAGTGGCGTATTAAACACAACCAGGACGAAGTGATAACAAGTAGCGAAAAGTCGAAATAATTTGAGGATGTGTGAATGATGCACGATTAGTTCACGCATCAGAACGATGAAATCCAAAGTCTAAGCGCTTTAAGAATGAAGCAATTGCGGATTGGCTAACATCCATTAAGTTGATAATTTTTTTGTGTGTAGCGATCAAAAAGACGAAAAATGACGAAAACTATTTTCTTAATAATCGTGTACGCATGGAGAAAAATTTCACATCACTTTCAATTTTATTAAATTAATTACTAGACAGAATGACATTAAACATTTTGCGAAGGAAGAAAAACGATTTCGTATTTCTCTTAGATTTTGGACTTTGAGATTGATAAAAAGCATTGTGGCTACAAGCACTTTTGTTTTTTCTTAAAATTTCTAGTTTATTATAAATTACGATGAAAATGAAATATTAAATACAAACTAAGCAATTAGAGAATTATTTTTAAAACTTGGTATTTTTAAAACTTACTATCGAATAGCATTGAAAAATAATTGTACAGAAAAGTTGTTAAAAAGTTATACTTTTCATGCTGGAAAAAGATTCTCAAATATTTTGTAGATTATCCAATACAGAAAAATACAAAACAAAGCAAAACTTTTTTAAATTTATATGTATATCTCCATACATTTTTATTACTGTTAAAGATTGAATACCTAGCTGAGACAGGAGAGACAGGAGAGGAGAGACCAAAGACGGATATATAATCGCAAAGTGTAAGAGTTTTTAAGAAAAAAACTAAATTGAAATTTATATCTGCGCAAAAATTACATTTACCAGTATTAACTTCTAGAGTTAATCTGGAGAAAATGCTAGCTATTAAAAATCCCGGTTGCAATTCGTCCTTTTTTTAGATGTTATCTTTTTAGTTAGAGTAAGAATAATAAACTCGCGCGACAGTGTTAACCGATGATAATGTAATCAGTCCTTAATCGTCCGACAGTGGAAAATGACTGTGTCAATAGTACTGAGATAATAATGGATCTCGATAGTGAATAATGACGATGATTGAGATTGAATGGACGAATTTGGAATTAAGAACAAAACATGCCAAATGCATTTAAGTAGGTTATTTTATATCGGATGTCTATGTAAGTCTAGCTGTAGGTAAAATAGATGAAGTATTCGATCAACCCTTTCGGTTTCATGACGTGAAAGAGATTTCAATAAGATTCGTATTGGCGTGAAAGTTAATAGCAATTCTTAATTTATTTATACTAATATACATGTTTTAAACGAAAGAAATTTAAAGGTGAAAGTTATATCGAGTAGTTCCATAAGTGCAATGTAAGATCGAAAGGGTTAAGATAAAGAATAATCACTAGGAGGATTAAACTTCATTTTCGAACGATTAGCGATTAGTAATTGGTATTAATAACATAAGAATTTTTGCAACGGAAGACAAAGGGCGACGAATTGGGCGATTTTAGGATGCTGGATAAGAGTAGTGCACATTGAACTTACTCAAAGAAAGGCGAGAAGATAATTATTTTTGTAAAGGAGCCGCATTGTATATGTAGAGAGAGCAATAAATAAAATGTGACACTGAGAAATTGATGAACGAGTGCATGCGTTGCAGAAAAAGAAAGAGGATTATTATTAAAATTATTTTTGTAGATATTGATAAGGTGATGGCAAGAATTGACAGTATCATTTTTATCTCTAAATGGAAAATATTCTTTCGCAAATTTATAATTAGTTTTATCAAATTAGTGCAAAGAGCATGTTTTGGAAAAAAACCAAAAAGAAATTATATCTGTTATTATATAATGAATCATTTTGTAGTCAAGTGTATGCAATTATTTATTTAAAGTTGAAGTTTAAAATTTTTTTAATTTGGAAATTTCTAAAATATCAAAAGGATAAATTTTGTGAAATTTCGAGACTTGATCAAGTCTTGACTCAACTTTATCAATTGAAAATTATCAGAATCATAATCGCGCTCTTTGTCGCTCAAACATTGCTAATCTGTGGTCTCTTACTGCAGCGATTTCCGATGATTTTTGTATCGCGCTCGTGTGATATCTGTCGACAAATTGTGTACATAATTGTAATGACGTGTGTGTAAGACTTGATTACTCGTGAAAAATAATATTACTGTGATTCGTTCGCTCGTCATTCATTTATTCGCGTTTCTCATTATGGGATTCCGATATTTAGAATTTGTTAATAAACGGTAATAATTACTTTTTTGTTTCTCGTTCTTGTTTTGTTATATTGTTCTTAATGTAATAAGCATACCGATTTGCGCGCAATTTACGGTAGTTTGTAGGTTTTAAACGTGATTTACGCCAAAAATTAAGATGCATATTGTAACTTTAGCTATTTATATTATATTATATATTATATTATACATATATACATA